TATTTGTACATGGAACTAATAGTGTTTTGTTATTTGCTATGAATACTGCCTAGGTTGCCACATGTGTGGATTTAAATAGAAAGTTCTTATGTTTACTATTTATTAAGAAGTCCACGTGTCCTCTAGCCAAGTTGACGAGGAACTGATTATATAGCCCAGGGTGGTCTTGAACTTGCTGCAATCCTCCTGTCTCTGCTTTTTTTTTTTTAAAAAATTTATTTATTTATTTATTTATTTATTTATTTATTTATTTATTTATTTTACAGTGTTCTGTCTGCATGTGTGCCTGCAGGCCAGAAGAGGGCACCAGATTTCTTTACAGGTGGTTGTGAGCCATTATGTGGTTGCTGGGAATTGAACTCAGGACCTCTGGAAGAACAATCAGTGTTACCATCTGAGCCACTGCATGTGTGCCTGCAGGCCAGAAGAGGGCACCAGATTTCTTTACAGGTGGTTGTGAGCCATTATGTGGTTGCTGGGAATTGAACTCAGGACCTCTGGAAGAACAATCAGTGTTCTTAACATCTGAGCCATTTCTCCAGCCCCTGTCTCTGCTTTTACAGTGCTTCCATTGCAAGTGTGAGCCACCACGCCAAACTACAATCACCATTTTAAAGGAGCTCGGAGAGCACGTCCTGTTCTCACAGAGGCCCTAGGTTTAGTTCCTAGCACCGTACAGAACTCCAATTTCAGGGAATCCCATGACCCCTCTTCTGACACTGGTAGGCAACAGGGCACACACACAGTGCACAGACCTACACACAAGCAGAATACCCATACAGCTAATATCTAAAAATATTTTTAAAAATTAAAGTAGACCTATAGAGTGTAATTTCATGTGGATTTCAATAGAAGGCCCTGCTTCCATTGCCCTGCATACTAAACAGCTGTGGAATGCGCAGCAAAGGCTATCTAATTGCTTCAGGCATGCCTATACCAGTACATGTGAACAAGCTTCCAACTGTACTTGAGAAATCCAGTTCCATCAAACTACTCACCAGACTGTCCGAGATCATTTCTCTACAAGAGTGGAAGAGAGAAACCATTCAAATTTGACTGCATTTGGCCATAAAGTCTTTAAAGGAAGTACTTTCAAACCAAATGAGATCTTAGAGTTCACCAGGGCTCCCATTCTTAGAGGAAGAGGAATTAAGCCTTCTCTCTCTTTACAAGACAAGGTGCAGCAAGAAGGCAGCTACTCGCAATCCAGGAAGACAGAAAGCTAACGCCAGAAATCAACCTTCATTTTAGAGACACCTATTCTCCAGAACTAAAGACAGAACCGTTGGCTTTCTAATTGCCCAGTCCAGTCTGGTATTTTGTTATGCCAGTGTGAGCTGAGTTGATTAATTCATTAGGCAAAGGCGTTTTACAGAGCAGCTGCAGAAGACATGCTCTGTGCCCTAGCCTATCTAGCTCATGATTCCCTTTCTGGATGTTCCCATAACCACTTTAACCTCTAAGAAGAGCCAAGTACAGAGGTCAGTATATACTTCCTTACTGGATTTGTTACTTGCTGTTGTTACAAATCACCACAAACTTGGGGGCCAAAAACAACACAGATCTATGGCCCTATCATTTTAGATGTCAGAAGCTGAGTGTGACCCATCCAGGTGAAATGGACAGATCAGCTGGGGTGCATTACTTTTGAAGTTTCAGAAGAGAACTAATTTCCTTGCCCTTTTCAGCTTCCAATTTCTTAGCTAGTGACTGCCTTCCCCTAAGTCAATAAATAGCCTTTAATGTCAGCATTCTCAATTAGAGGGCAGAGGCAGGCAGATCTTTGTGAGTTTGAGGTCATTTAGTGAGACCTTGTCTCAAAAATCAAACAACAAAACTGAAACGAATCCCCCCTAAACACCATCAAAACCCAAACTGATCACTAATGTCCCTGCTTTCTAAACTGGATAGATTCATTCTTTAGCACTATTGTTGGCTCGTCTGCAGACACTGCATATAGACTCCGGGAGGGATTTGACATGCCCGTCTCAATAACCAGAATAGGATTCTGCACTTACAAAGCACTGAGAATTTTCTTGTCTTTCCCACCCCCTACCCCAGACCTACTCCCTGCCCCAGCACTCAGATTATTTGTGAATTTCAATTATTTGAGAGATCAGCTCATTGTGTACCTTTGAAATAAACAGAATGCATTACCAAAATGTTAGGTCTCAACTTCAGGGCCTTTCTTGGTTAGCAGAGAATTAGTTATTAGTTCTCAGTTGCTTCACATGCTGCCAGCAAGTTTTCAACTTACCGAATCCATGCTTTGGTTTGGCTAAGAGTGCTCTCACCCCATTCCTTGTTTTTCATGACTTTAATCCAAAGCCATACAATGAGACAACTCCATTAAATTAGAGGTTAGAACACACTGTTCAGTGTGATCACACAGCAGGAAACTTTAACAATATATTCACTAACTAGGGAAGCAAGGACCTTACATGGAAAAGGAACTTGTTATATGACATAATATTGCTGAATTTAACTCAAGACTGGATCCGGGCTATATCCTGCACTTACAAATGCCATCTTGCATTTACCCCACGGCGCATCTTAGTTATCTGCCAGGCATCAAACTCTTGTCTATGCTATCCCAGCCACCTCTGCTCGATCTGGGAGATACTTTAGTTTTATAATATCTCCTGGGTATGCGGCAGGTGTTTTAGGCACCTGTCGAGGTATGAGATGGACATAACTATGTCTTCAGATGCAGGGCGGGAAGTTTTAGCTATCTCTCCAGGTAGCAGATGCTCATTTTAAATTTCTCTCTAGGTACCGGGAAGGATTCTTACCTATGTCTCCAAGTTTTCCAGCAGATATCTTACACCCCAAGTCCCAGCACAGAGCAGGCAGAGCGGTATGTCTCCAAGCTTTCCAGTAGGCATGTTTCCTACACCCCAAGTCCCAGCACAGAGCAGACATGATAGGTATGTCTCCAAGCTTTCCGGCAGAACTTGTTTACCACACCCCAAGTCTCAGCACACAGCAGGTATTTCCGGCAGACATATTTACTACACCAAGTCCCAGCACAAAGCAAGTACTTCCGGCAGACATTTTACTATACCAAGTCCCAACACAGAGCAGGTATTTCCGGCGGACATTTTCTGAACCCCAAGTCCCAGCATAGAGCAGCCATTTTGGGTATGGCTCTAAGTTTTCCTGCAGACATATTACCCTCTATTGGGGCCCGCTGCTTGTTTGTTTCCTGGCCACCCAAACTACAGAAACAATCGCACATCAATATCTATTCATTGTAATGCTGTTTGGCCAATAGTTTACAATCCCCCAAGTTCGACTACAGAGCAGACATGATAGGTATGTCTCCAAGTTTTCTGACAGACATATTCACTACTACACCCCAAATCCCAGCACAGAGCAGGAATTTCCAGCAAACAAATTCACTACTAAACCCCAAATCCCAGTACAGAGCCAGTATTTCCGGCAGACATATTCACTACTACACCCCAAGACTCAGCACGGAGCAGGTATTTCCGGCAGACATATTTGCTACACCAAGTCCCAGCACAAAGTTAGGTATTTCCGGCAGACATTTTCCCGAACCCCAACTCCCAGCAAACAGCAGCCATTTTGGGTAGGGCTCTAAGTTTTCCGACAGACATATTACCCCCTACTGGGGGCCGCTGCTTGTTTGTTTCCTGGCCCGCGTTACCCCCTATTGGGGCCCGCTGCTTGTTTGTTTCCTGGCCGCCCAAACTACAGAAACAATCGCACATCAATATCTATTCATTGTAATGCTGTTTGGCCAATAGTTTACAATCCCCCAAGTTCGAGTACAGAGCAGACATGATAGGTACGTCTCCGAGTTTTTTTGGCAGAGATATTCACTACTACACCCCAAATCTCAGCACATGGCAGACATGATAGGTATGTCTCCAAGTTTTTCTGGCAGACATAATTATTACACAAGTTCCAGTACAGAGCAGACATATAACCCGTGCCTCCAAGATTTCAAGCAGACCTCTTACACCCCAAGCCTGAATACTGGACCAGCATCTAACATAACCTATGACTCCGTGTTTCCCGGTAGACATTTTAGCGTGTCTCCGGGTCTCAAGCTGGTATCTTAACAAGTATCTTTCATAACCCGTGCCTCCAAGATTTCCAGCAGACCTCTTACACCCCAAGCCTGAATACTGGACCAGCATCTAACATAACCTATGACTCCGTGTTTCCCGGTAGACATTTTAGCGTGTCTCCGGGTCTCAAGCTGGTATCTTAACTAGTATCTTTCATAACCCGTGCCTCCAAGATTTCCAGCAGACCTCTTACACCCCAAGCCTGATTACTGGACCAGCATCTAACATAACCTATGATTCCGTGTTTCCCGGTAGACATTTTAGCGTGTCTCCAGGTCTCAAGCTGGTATCTTACCTTAACTAGTATCTTTCTTTTCATGCTCTGAGCTGAACCTTAGTTATCTGCCAGGAATTTAAGTCACCTCTACACTATCCCTTAGGCATTTTGTCACCTCTGCTCTATCGGTAGACATTTTAACTTCTCAGGGTACAAGACCGGTATTTTATCCATCACTTCGGGTACAGGGCGGCCATTAACTATGTCTGCAGGTCTCAGGGAAGGCATTTATTTAATGTATCTCTCTCAGGGCATGGGCATTTCACCTGTCTCTCAGGGTAGCGATCAGACGTTTTAATTTCCCTCTCCGTTTCCCGTACAGACACTTTAACTTTGTCCCCAGGTTCTGGGCAGGCCTTGTAGCCACCTGCATGAGTAGCGGCCAAGGATTTAATTATCTCTCTGGGACTGGCCTATGGGAAAAGCAGTAGCCACCGCTCCATTTCCCAGGTAAATATTTTAACTTTGCTACCAGGTCTTGTGTACAGATCAAATAGTTTGGTAATTGTTTAAGGTCCCAAGGAGACATTTTACCTCCCTCAGCAGGTAGCCATTTCGTTGCTCTCATAGGCGTTTGAGCCATTTTGCCTCTACCTCGCCCGCCCGCCCGCCCGCAGCTCACTCACCACTGCGTTCTGACGGTCCTTCTGGCCTCTTCCGTCACGCCCTCCGCTGCAGCTGCCGCCGGTCACGCCCTCGCTGCAGCTGCCGCCCGGGAGTGGGTGTGGGTCCAGCGAGAGCTATTGGGTTCCAGAAGCCAAGAAACCTGGTACGTTGGGTTCCAGAAGCAAGAATAACACGGAAAGAGAGGGAAGCAGAGAGCAATTTTGTGGAGCTCAGGAAATACCCAGAGCGCCAGGAAAGTGGCGATCGGGTCTTGCTGAGACCATGTGGAGCTTGGAGCGTCTCTGCTGATCTTGCAAAAACAAATACCAGGGACCAGGGACCTGGGACCGGACCAGGGACAGGAGAAGCACTGAAAGGCTTGCTAGCTGGCGCCAGCTTTCTGAGTGAGGGAGCGCAGGGAGAGATTTAAAGCTCTTGAGGCTGGAGTCCAGCAGAGAGGGCGTGGTCAGCGAGCAGGGAAAGAGGACAGAGGACCCCTGAAAGGGGAGGGGAAAAAAGGAGGAGCAAAGTGTGGGGTGGGAAGGAGAGCAAATGGGTCAGTGCTACTCCAGATGGTTGAGTGGCAAGCAGGTAGCAACTTGCCTGATCATGTGGCCCTGAGCCTGGAGACCCAGAACACATGGAGCAGCTCCAACAAAGCCTCATTTCCACTATGGCTATCTACCTGCATGTTTTCTTTGTGGCAGAGAGCCTGTACCCCCACCCATTTCTGCCCCTGACCCTTCGCCTTCTCCTGTCCTTTCTTTTCAGCCATTTCTAACGTGGGAAACAGAACTTACCACTAAGTGTGGAGGAAAATTAATGGATGCACATACCTATTTCCCTAGTTGACAGGAGACTTAATTACTAGTGAAATTTTCCTTAAACCATGCACCTTCAAATCGCAAGAAAAGACTATAAACGCCAATATCAAAACAAACTGCCTCAAATGTCAATTTTCTTTTAAAATTTTATTTTTATTTTATGTATGTGGATGCTGCAGTTGCTTGTATTTCTGTGCTCCACTTGCATGCAGGGACCACGGAGGCCTGATGAGAGCATCAGATCCCCTGGAACTGGAGTTACAGGTGATTGTGAGCAGCTACGTGGGTGTTTGGGTATCTAACCTGGATCCTCTACAAGAGCAGCCAATGAGTGCTCATAACCACTGTGCTATCTCTACAGCCCCAGTGTGAATTTTCAACGGGCAAAGCTTTGTTGGCATATGATACGAATTTCATAAAGTGTGAAAATTTTTACCAGGAAATAGAATGTAGAGGGGGTTGGAGAGATGGCTCAGGACTGGCCGCTCTTCCGAAGGACCAGGGTTCAATCCCAGCACCAACACGGCAGCTCACAACTGTAATTCCAATATCTGACACCTTCACAGAGACAGACATACATGCAGGCAAAACACCAATGCATATAAAATAAAATAGATAGGACGTAGCATTGTTGAAGCCCATGCAGGGGGAGGGGGCATGCTGAGTGCAAAAGGCAGGTTCTTTAAATAAAATGAATACAGAAATCTCCAAGAACATGATATTTTGTCAAAAAGTTTTTTGCACCATCCAAACAGGTCTGAAATATTAAATTTCACATTCTAGAGTATTGAATAAAAGCTAGAAAGGAGACTGAAACACTTTATTTTTTTAATGTATCTATTTTGTTTTGTTTTTCAAGACAGGGTTTCTCACGAGCTGTGCAGTCAGTCCTGGAACTGGCTCTGTAGATCAGACTGGCCTCGAACTCACAAAGATCTGCCTGCTTCTGCCTACTGGGGTTTAAGGCGTGCACCACCACAAACCCAGCCACTCTTATGTTCTTTGTACCATCTTTGTACTCAAACAAATGTTGGAAAATGGCTTCTTCCCCAGAAGCCATCAGTTCGCAGAAGCAGAAATTCAACAAGTAAGCATGGACACCCACAGTAAGCTGCATCCAAGCTAATCACCCACCTTCCCCAACAATATTGAAGTAGCTCCATGTTCTTAGTGAGGCAGGAGGATCTTCTTGGGTTCGAGGACAGCCTAGGCTGAGTAAATTTCAGGACAGCTGTCTTAGGGTTTCTATTGCTGTGACAAAACACCCTGACCAGAAAGCAAGCTGGGGAGGAAAGGGTTTATTTGGCTTATACTTCAACATTGCTGTTCATCACTGAAGGAAGTCAGGACAGGAACAGAAACTAGGGATCCCTAAAACAAGCTAGCTGGTACGACTAGCCATATTGCAAGCTCTGGGTTTGATTGAGAAACTGCCTCAATGAATAAAGTGGAAGAACAGTCAAGGATGATCCCCGACATCAAGTTTGGGCCTTCGCCAACAAGCACGCCCACATGCATTTGCACCTACGCTTGTGTGTGTCTCCACACACACACACAAAACATGCATGTGCAAATGCACATGAGAAAAGAAAAATAGGAAATAACTTTAAAAATTTAAAAACACATAAAAGGCCAGAAAACATGGTTCAGCAGGTAAAAGCATTGTCCTGCAAGCCTAGAAACCTGAGTTTAATCCCTAGAGCTGATATAAATGTGGAAGGAGAGAGCCATCTCTACAAACCGTCATCTGTCCTCCACGAGCACGCCGTGACGTGAAAACTCACACAGGCTGCATGTGCGCACAAGCAACAACAATAAGTAAAATGTTAGCCTTTTTTTTTTTTAAAAAAAATCAAAATTTTACATTTATGTTTGAATCAAAATGTCTGGAAGGATATTAGCAAAATGCCAACAGCTCTGCCATTGAGAAGCGGAATTTAGGAGCATTCTCTCTGTTTTTAGCTACCAAAAATCAAACCCTGGGTTCCATGCATGACAGGCAATCACTCTGCCACTGAGCTAGACCCTCAGGCTACCTTTCCTTTATATTTTTCTGTGGTCTTAGTCTCCCTACAATGAACAGCTGCTTTGTCATTAGAAGACAAAGTTAAGGTTAATGTTCATAAGAAAGGAAAACACACAGAAAGATGACATTTTTATCGGCTTGGCATATATTTTCCCCCAACAAAACAGGAGGCAACTCAAGAGTGGAGAGTAGGAGGGGATGACGTGAAGAATGTGAACAAGGTAAGAACGAGCTGTTTAAGAGAGCGAGGTGATTAAGAGCGTGCAGGGCCTAGTCGTGAGTGATCCTCATTAACCTTCCCAGTCACGGAAATGTCTGCAACAACTGTAGATCTGCACAGGTTAAAGTGCGGCTATGAATATTTGGATTCCCGCAGGGGTTGGAAGGGAAGCTGGAGCCTTGACTGGGGAGTTGGAGGCATTTACAAAATAGCAATCGTGATAGTAATTCAGGAATTTAGGTGCGTAAGAAAGCAAGTGAAGACGGAAAGAGAATGGTGTAAGGAGAGAGTGTGGGAGGGGTTAAAGAATTGGGGGCTTCACGTGGTGTCAAAGAATTGCAGCGGGGTTGCTTGAGCAAGTGAGCTGGGAAGCTAGGTGAGTCGTAGACGCAGCCCTGTTTGAATTAGTGATTGCTGAAGCCTAAATTCTGACAACTTGTGTTGTCTGGCTACATGAGTAGATTGCAGAGACTGAACCACCCTTCTTCCTGTCCCAACACTATCATCGTGCATTTTTACTATTTGTCTAGAGGTCAAATGCACTGCGCATTGCACAACACTCCGGGCCGTTTCCACTTTGTAACTGATACACATTATATGCACGCATGAGGTATAATGTAATCATTCGATGCGTAATGACCAAATCAGGGTAATTGGCACTTCCGGCTGCTCAAACAACTGCCATATCTCTTTTGTTTTAGACAGGGCCTCACTCAGGCTAGCCTTAAACTAGCAATCCTCCTGCCTTTGTCTCCTGATGCTAAGATGTTAGATGTGTGCCACCATGCCTACACATTCTCTGTCTCTGTCTCTGTCTCTCCCTCTCCCCTCTCCCTCCCCCCCCTCAGTTTTCAGAGATAGAGATTGAATCACAGGGTACTGGCATGTCAGGCAAGTGTTCTACCACTTGAGCCACTCCTAGACCAAAGCCACTATTAATTTGAATTCATTTTAACAGACACATAAAAGCATTAAAACATGCATATTAATTGAGTGCCATGTGGTTATATACTACATATGATAAATATAACTATTTAATACTGTAAATAATTCTCAGATAAGACCCAAAGGGTAATGTAGTTGAAAGATTGGTGTCATAGCAGGCACAAAGACCTGGGTTTGATTCCTAGAACCACATAAACCCAGGCACATAGCACATGCCTATAATCCTAGTACTCAGGAAGATGGAAGCGAAAGGCTCAGTTCAAAGTCATCCCTAGCTACACGTAAAGCAAGATCAAGGGCAGCCTGTCTAAAAAATAAGTACTAAAAAGAATAAGGAACCTCTCCAATGCTCAAGGAACATTGGAAAGAGAGAACAGCAGAAAGAATATATAAGCCAGTTAACGGGAGAGAAGCTGTAAGATAATACTGTCTTCTAGACATGACCCAGAGCAACTATATTTACCTCGGAAGACCAAGCCAGTAAGGTCAATCTACATTGGCATACACCACCACACCCAGCTAAATCTTAAAAAAAAAGAAAGGATGGTACATATGCATAACAAAATTTCATTCAGGTGTAAAAAGAAAATTGAAATCATTACATTTGCAAGAAAATGGATGCTGCTAGAAATCATGAATTGAGAAAAAGGCAGACTCAGAAAGACAAACATTGCATGCTGCCTCTCATACACTGAACCTAAAATTATCCTGGAACTAGCTCTTGTAGTCCAGGCTGGCTTTGAACTCAGAGATCCTCCCAACCCCCACTTCTGCCTTCCTGAGTGCTGGGGTTAAAGGCACCGCCCAACTGCTTTTTCTTTTTAGTAAGTGAGGATAAGGATTTTTTTCTTGTATTGGTCATTTCTTTTGGCCTATCTAGTACTCATATTTATCTCTCCATACATAAAGGAAATTATTCAACTTTTGCATTTTCCCTTTTTATCCTGGAACAATCTTTAGTTCCACAAGACTTCTATCACATATGACCCGTGTTGATGACTTAAATCTGTCACCCTGATCTAGGCCTCTAGTTCAAGTTACTGGCTATTTTTACCTATGTGAAACTAAACCCACATGCATATTTATAAAGTCACCAGACCTGTGACTGAATTTCCTTCTGGCCTCAGTCTTTTGAACTTATGTGACTAGGGCACACCCGCCAAAATCCTGTTCTTTCATCTGTAAAACACAATTATATCTACTTTGTAGGCTTAATAACAAAATGAGATTTATGCAGAATTGGCATAAATACTCCATAAAAGGTAGCATTCTCTCCCTGCCCTGGCTTCGCAGCTACACTGAAAATTCACCCTAAGTCTTGTGACTCTCTATCCCTTCCTTGCACACAGGCACCCCATCCACAAGGGAAGTTCCCAGTTCCCTGGGGTGTACGAAGACATGCACGCATACATAACTACGTGCACGCTACGTCCAGTTCCACTAGGACTGCAGTCAGGCCAAAGACTCTGTTTTCTCCTAATCTGATTGTTTCCCAGCTCACTGGCAATCACACCCTCCCTTCAGTCTACTTCTCAAGCCCTCAGGTCAAATGTGGTCCTTTTGTGCTTCCACACTCACCGGGCTAGTCCAATCGGTTCCTCACTAGATGGGGAGTTCCTTGAGATCAGTTTCACTGTTTGTGGCACCAGCTCCCAGCACAGGGTCTACAGTTTTACATATTTGTTGAGTAAGTGAATAAACGCATACTTTTTTTCTTTTTAAATCTGAGTGGAGTTTTAAGCACTAATCTCCTACTGTTCTATGGCAAGCAGTTCCCTTGCATATATGAACCTTAAAAAAGACCCTCTAGTGCCCACAGCACTGATTTACTGTTCTATGACAAGCAGTTCCCTTGCATATATGAACCTTAAAAAAGGCCCTCTAGTGCCCACAGCTCCTATGAGCTGTGTTGCCCAGGTAGTGACTGGAGTCTGAGACTGATCCCACTGAAAGATGTGCAGTTGAAGACACTGGTCTGACTGTATAAGCCAGCCAGTGTTGAGACCAGAGTCCACCCCAACCCCAGAGAACATTGTGGCCACTAGAGAAAAAGACAGGACACTTCCTGGAGTCTCTCTAGCCTTAGAGTCAAGCTGTGTATCACCTCTAATAAGCAAAGAACAGGACAGTTTTTTCCGAGTTTTCTTTAATAGCATTTTTCCCAAAGCCAGGAAACAACTAGAGACGATTTCAAAGTAGACAAGTAAACAAAAAGTAAAGGAGAAACAGTAAAGGAGACACATCCACTGTTCCACAATAAATAGAGCTCTATTTAGTATCCCCACTAGTATCACAGGAGAGGCCCAGCTCTCCGTGGGGTCAAGAGTGCTCCCCATGATTGTGTAAGGGGCTTAGACAGCACTCAGGTATGATTAGGTCAAACTGTGTGAACACAGGAAGCGGTGAGATCAAGGTCTACAGTTCGGGCCCTTGGTCTGGGTAGGGTTTGATGATTCTTAACTTCTTCCACACTGTGCTGGATCCCATAGCCAAAGTAGATAGCAAATCCTAGTAAAGAAAGACAACTGTAAGGTGGGGGAACGTAACCTGGAATGGTTTAATAGGTCTCCAACTGGAGATCAAGAGAGAAAGGAGCCAGTGTAGGACAGAGAAGCAAACACCTACCAACCAGCATCCAGATCCCAAATCGGGCCCAAGTGCCAGCTGTCATTTGCATCATCAGGTAAACATTCACAAAGATGCTCACCAGTGGGAGCAGAGGCAGACCAGGCACCTGCAAAACAAGATAGACATACAACACAAGGGTTCTTACCTTACTGGGGGCAGGACAGGCCCCTACTCTTCTCCTCATGGCCTGGATCCCAGTGGCTACTCATTTGCCACACATATTATTAGACTCCCCACATCCAGAACTTAAGAAAATGGAACCAGAAAGGAGGAACTAGAGAGCATCAGCAACGAGTCTGGCCTCAATAGTTCTAACACCTACCTTCTTGTGTCCAGTTAAAGAATATAAGATACAAGCCCTAATTGTCCCAAGATGGATTGGTGGGGGGAAGAGACATCATTTACCTTAAAGTGAAGGGGGGTGTTGCTCTGTGGCTGTTTCTGGATAACTCCAACAATTCCAAGAATGAGCCCCAGGATCAGCACAATCACTGTGACCCACACTGGGTCTCTAGAACTAAGTGGAGTTGTCCACCATTTCAGCACCAGGCAAAGAGCAATCAGTAGTAGAGCTTCAAAAGTCAAGTAGAGAGGAATCAAAACCAACTCTTGTGTAATATGCAAAGATGCTAAGGCCTCCATTCCCAGAAGGGTTGGTTACCCTCTTGCTTGACCTCTCTCTCACCGAATGCTACCACATAATGTCCACCCTGTCAAGCTGGGCTCTCCAAAGTTTCCCAAAGAATAAAACCACTGCTTGGGAATGGTGATATGGCTCAGCAGTTAAGAGCACTTGTTGCTCTTCCAGAAGACTTTGGTTTGGTTCCCAGTACAATTTGGCAACTCACAACTGGCTATAACTTCAGTTCCAGAGGATCAGATGCCTTCTTCTGATCTATGTAGGTACCAGGCATGCATACAGCACACAGACACTCATGCAGGCAAAATGCTCATACACATAAAAGTAAATTAATAGATAACAAACAAAAGAAAAGGAAAGAAGAATCTACTGCTCACCAAGCAGTGAGGAGCAAACATAGACAACTCGGCCAGGAAGGGGGGTGGGGATGGAGCTGACTGGGTAAAACAGGGCCTGGACAGTCAGCTTCTCTGCTTCAACTGTCTTCTCCTCCTGTAATTCCACTTCCTCTTCCCCATTCTTCATTTCCTGGTCAGGCTGATATCTGTGGCAAAAGTAAGAACCAATTTTAAGAGCATCTCCTAACAGTTCTCCGTATTTTTTCCAGGTGGCTTCTTTATGGCCGTTGAAGGTGGAAGCTTGGGCTGGGGAGATGACTCAGCCTGGAAAGGGTCTGGAGAGACGGCTTGGCAGTTAGTTAAAGGTGTTTACTTCTCTTCAGAGGACTTAAGTTTAGTTCCTAGTACTCTCATTGGGCAGATCAAGACCACCTATAGCTCTAGCTCCAAGGGATTCAATATCCTCTTCTGGCCCCCAAGGACACCAGATAGACAGACAGACAGACAGACACAGAGAATTGATTTTTAAATATCCAAGTGTCTACCACACAAGCGTGATTATTGGACTTGAATTCAGATAGCCAGCACTCATTTAAAACCCAGGTGTCCTGTAACCCCAGTGCCAGGGGGTTGGAGCTAGGATTCCTGGAATTCCCATTAGTCAACCAACTTTGCCAACCAGTGAGCTCCAGCTTCAATGAGAGACTCCATCTAAAAAAATACAGTGGAGAGGGGTGGAGAGGGATGTGGATAGACACCTAACTCTGACTCATACACACACTTACATACATGGGGGTGGGGGTGGGGAGAAGCTCTTTTGGACAGGACAAGATACCCACATTGCTCAAGGAGAGTCAGGATGACAGAAAGCAGAGAGGGAATGAGCACCTCAGCCTTACCCAGAAACACAAACACAAGTCTTACCTGAGAATGAGAACACAGATGGAAACCAGAGAGTAAGCGAGCAGAGTCCCAATCGACATGAGGTCTACAAGATCAGCCAGCTCGAAGAGGAAGGCCATGAATGCTAAAATGGGAAGGCAGAAAGCGGTGAGAAGGAAGTAAAAGGAGCTGGTGAAACAATAAAAAGGGGTGTTTCTGTTTTGTTACCTGCGATAACACCAGATACCACAGTGGCCACAATGGGGGTGTGTGTGTCACTGCGTACCCTAGCAAGGACACGGAATAGGAGGCCAAGAACCTATAAGATTTACCCTAGAGCCCAGTAGCCCTGAAATCTAACGTTTCTGCTTCCTGGCCTGCAGCTCCTGGTTAATCAAAAGGAACTCACCTCAGGACAACTCTGAGAGCCCTTTCTCACACCCAATACCCACATCCCTTTCCGTGTGCGCCTGGAGGGCTTCAAAGAGACATGGCTACCCACCACCTGGAAGAGAGGGACTGACCTCACTGCGGGTTAAAAGTGGGCACTGCCTCTATCAATCCCATAGGGATGGAGCGCTGTGGATTCTGAGCCTCTTCCCCTGCAAGAAAACACATGGCACAATGTTCTGAACCAGGGGAGTAGGCTCGCTCCCCTACCACCCCCAGTCTGTATGATCACACACTGCATCCAAGGTGAACCAAGAGGGTGTGACTGACCGGTGGTCGCAATACAGTCAAAACCAACGAAGGCATAGAAACAGGTAGCGGTAGCAGCGCCACGGAGCATCCCTTCCACGCCAAAAGGCATGAAACCTCCAGAGCCCATAGGCTCAAAGCTAGAGTGCAAGAGGAATAGAAACGGTTAGAGTTTGTTCAGCTAAGCCTGTACCTTTTCTCTAAGGCCCAGCTGCTTGTTGTCTCCCACTCCCATTCTGGATTCCCCCTCCACCCCCATGAGGGTCCCAGCTTTGTGGCTCTCTAACCTACAAGTGTCATTGGGTCCACCAATGGTCAAGCAATAGTCCTCTTTTGTGAGGCTCCAGTTCTTCGGGTCTCCCATAACGAAGTCAGAGATGAAGACAAACCCTAGAACCAAGAGGTTGGCCCCTGTGAACACTTTGGTAACCAGGGCTGATTCACTCGCCCCCATGGCCAACAATCCTGTGGAGAGAATTGTTCAGGATCCTGAGAGACTAAATCCTTCCTCCAAGTTTGCTTTTCCTGCCTCGGTGAGGCAGACTCCTTCCTTCCCAGCTTCCTTCCCTCCCCATCCTTACCACTCCACACCCTCAAGCCCTTCCAGGCCCAACCCCATCCCTTGCCTCACCAGTGAGCAGCAACACAAGGGCCAAAGCAAAGAAATCTGGATATTCTGCAAGAACACGGGGTACATGCAGTGAGATGGTCCCCTTCAGAGTCTCAGAGATGTGGTTCCCAATCAGATTGTCAAAAGCAGAGCTCCAAGCCCAGGCCACACTGGCTGTACCTGGTATAGCAACTGCATTTTGTACTATAATTCCAATACTCAGGAAAATGATGAGGTCAAGTTTCCTCCGACCTACACAGTCTCACACCGATCCCCACCATTATTACCCATCTTACCCTGGGGGAGGGAGGTGACAGGTCTTTACTTAATTTAGCCTGGCCTTGAACTCAACAAACTTAGGACCTTCCCACTTCAGCCTCCTGAGTACTGGAATCACAGGTGCACACCAATACACTCAGCTCCTGCTATTAATTTTTAAAACCAGTATCTTAATGAATGAACACCAAACAAAGGTATACAATTGTTCTTCACCTTCAACCCCCCCCTTCATCTCCACACACCCTTACAAATAAAAATATAAAGTAAACATCTAGAAGGATTTCGATACTAGGGAAAATAATGAAAATTTCAGCTTCACTATTCCACTCAGATTTCTGGATCTATAATCCCTTCGCTACTTGGTTAGTCACCCACTCCAACCCCCCCCTCCCATCGCACCCCAAGCGTCTATCTCATCAATGACGTAGGAGAGGATGAGGTTCCAGCCGGTGGTGAAGGCCCAGAGTTCACCAACAGTGACATAACTGTAGAGATATGCAGAACCAGAGTGGGGGACCCGGGCACCAAACTCAGCATAGCACAGTCCAGCCAACACAGAAGAAAAAGCAGCCACCAAAAAGCAGATCACAATGGATGGCCCTGCTTTATCTTTGGCCACCTCACCAGCCAGGACATACACACCTGCACCCAATGTGCTGCCCACACCCAGGGCCACTAAGTCGAGGGTGGTTAGGCATCTGGCAAGGCGGGTGTCGCCCATGCCTGGCTCCAACATGCGTCTACGCACCAGCTTTTGACCGAATCTTCTAAGAGCCTGCCACCGCATTCTGGCTGACATTGAAGAGGATGCTAGGTTCTGGTGAAAAAGAAAAAGAAAAAAAAAAGACAAAAGCCCTTCAATGGGTCTCATTATCCTTAAGCTCAGAAAGTGGATTACAAAGCCCACTCCACTACAGGGACAAAGGAAGGTAGGTGTGCGGGGGAGCGAGCCACTTTACCTCTAATGTCCAATTCTTCATAGGCAAATAGGAATTACAATAATAACGCAAGTAGGGATCACAGTATCTCTGAGGCTGGTGAACTCATTGCGCAGAAGAGGCAAATGAAAACCCCTTATAGCACAGTGGTTGGCCTCTAGTAAGTGCTTGGACACTATGTTTCTTCTTTTTCTGGCCAAGAACCTGTGGGATTTACCCTAGAGCTCAGCCCAGCAGCCCTGAAATGTAACATTTCTGTTTCCTGGCCTGCAGCTCCTGGTGAATCGAGAGGAACTCAATTCAGGGCAACTCTGGGAGAGCGCTTTCTCACACCCAATACCCACATCTTTTTCGGTGTGCGCCTGGAGGGCTTCAAAAAGACATGGCTACCCACCGCCTGGAATAGAGGGACTGACCTCACTGCGGGTTAAAAGTGGGCACTGCCTCGATCTCATCCCTCCTCACCAAGCCCACAGTGCTCCACCTGAGCCAGCAAATGTTCCCCCACTTCCTCCCGCCTGCCTTAGGCTGGTCTGTGAGGATCAGCCATAAGGCGGGGCTTCGGTATCTGAAATTGGGAGATGCGCCCCGGGGCGGGGGGGGGGGGGG